AGATCTTGACCTGGGCTGAAGTCACTGAAGTCAGACACTCAACAGACTGAGCCACCCAGGCATCACTATAGACTTATATTTGTGAACACTGATGCAGATATCCTCAACGAAACTGAAGTGTATTGAATTCAGTATATAAAAAAGAATAATACAGGGGAGCCTGGGTGGCCCAGTCCGTTAAACATCTGACTTCAGCTTTTAGGTCATGATATAGTGGTCTGTGAGTTTAAGCCCTGCGTTGGGCTCTGTGCTGACAGCACAGAGCCTGGAGCCTGCTTCAAATTCTGTGTCTCCCCCTCTGACCCTCCCCCGCTTGCACTCTGTATCTCTCTCTTTCTCAAAAATAAACATTAAAAAAATTTTTTTTAATAAAAATAAAATAAAAAAGAATAATACAGTATGACCATTTCAGGGCTTATTCCCAGAATGCAAAACTGGTTCAGTATTTGAAAATAAATAAGTATAATCCACCATACTGTGTAAAGCGAAAAATCACATGATTATATCAAGAGATACACGCCAAAACCCGCCCCCCCCCCCCCCCCGCCAAAACCAGAAAGCCACATACATTTGATGTCCGTGATGCATAAAAGCTCTTAGCAAACTGGAAATTGAAGGGAAATTCCTCAACCTGTTAAAGAGCACCTGTAAAAATCCCACAGCTACCATCATATTTAATGGCAGAGATGAATGCTTTCTTTTTAAAACTAGGAGTAAGAGGGGCGCCTGGGTAGCTCAGTTGGTTAAGCATCTGACTTCGGCTCAGGTCGTGATCTCATGGTTGGTGAGTTTGGGCCCTGTGCTGACAGCTCAGAGCCTGGAGCTTGCTTCGGATCCTGTGTCCCTGTGTCCTCTCTCTTTGCCCCTCCCCTGGTCATGCTGTGTCTCTCTTTCAAAAATAAATAAACATCTAAATAAATAAATAAGTAAATAAATAAATAAATAAATAAATAAATAAAACTAGGAACAAGGTAAAATGTTTGCTCTCAACACTCCTATTTAACATTGTACCGGAAATCTTAACCAAAGTAGTAAGGCAAGAAAAAGAAATAAAAGTCAAAGGGATTAGAAAGGAAGAAATAAAACTGTCCCTGTTTAAAGATGACATGATTGTCAATGTAGGAAAACCCAAGGAATCTATCCAGAAAACAAACCAACAAAAATCCTGTGACTAACGTGAATATAGCAAGGTTACAGGATATACAGCCAACACCCACAAATCGATGTCATTTCTGTATATTAGCAATGTATAATTGGGAACCAAAATGTACAAGCCAATACCATTTACAAATAGCCCAAAGAAAAATGAAATAGGTTTAAAGCTAACAAAACGTGTACAGGATTCGTATGCTGAAAACTGCAGAACCGCTAAAATGTAATTTGTTTGGTATATAAGCCATTTATTTTCAGTTGTCATCAAGATTTCTCTGCCTTTACTCAAATTCCTTTCAGGACAGATCCAAAGAAGCAAATCATATTTTCGTACATTACCTTCATCCATGTTGTATGAAATAGATGTACCAGTAGGCTTTTTAAAAATAATTTTAAGTTTTTGTTCTTTCTCTGACATCAAGGATCAATCATATTCATGATGTGATTTGAAATTGAATTTCATATTCCATCTGCACATTCATCTTTGTCAATAGCTGCTTAGGAACCATTATAAATATGTTACCCAGTATTGCACAACTCCTGCTCTGCATGTCAACTGTGTGATTGTTTTTCGAATTTCAGTCAAAAGATACAAATGATACACATCTTTTAAAAACCTTAATTGAATATTGCCTTTCATATCACCCTTTCTGTTGGTTTGTGATTTTTAGTTTTCCTCATTTTATTTTAAGATTTTTAAAGTTTATTTATTTTGAGAGAAAGAGAGCCAGCACAGTGGGGGAGGGGCAGAGAGAGAGAATCCCAAGCAGGCTTCACCCTGTCAGCGGGGAGCCCGATACGGGGTTCGAACTCAAGAACCGCAAGCTCAAGACCTGAGCTGAAATCAAGAGTCAGACGCTTAACCGACCGAGCCACCTAGGCACCCCTTGTGGTCTATGTGTCTATTCATTGTAAAAAGGTATTGTTTATACTACCAGTGCACGTATGTTTATTATTTAATGAAAAAAGGCTTATAAAGTTAATGCCTGAAGTTCATATGAATATCCTTAATGTTGTGTATCCCCAGGGAATTTATTATAACCTGTTCTTTCTGAGCCCATAACAGATGTTAGTTGTTTTTACTTTCATATTCACACGTAAATACTTTACAATGTGATTTCCCACACATTGTGGCTCTGTTTACTAAACACTCAAGGCATGGTAACACAAAGAAACACTTCATTTTGATTCTAGGAGCTGATGATCTTTGTAACAAACCTTGACAAAAAAGACATACTGCACACGCTGTTGTGATCAATCATGATCAATGAATGATCAATCATTCAGGGATTGCCTAGCCTTAGGGAACATAAAGCAGTTTAGAAAGGTTGGTTATTCTACTCAGCATCGTAATTTAATGACCTAGACCAAGAAATTTCAAATGTGCTGATTAAACTTACACAGTTGACAGGATGGCTAATATTCTAGAAAACCAGAATCAAATTCAGAATGATCATTGATACAAGTTGCATGCATTCATTCATTCATTCATTCATTCATAAATATTTGTTAAATTTTGAGAGAGAAAGAAAGAGCACACAGGAGGAGCAGAAAGAGAGGGAGACAGAGAATCCCAGGCCAACTCCATGCTGTCAGCTGGGGCATGAGACCATGACCTGAGCCAAAGTCAAGAGTTGGACACTTAACTAAGCCCCCCCAGGTGCCCCTGAAAAAATTGCTTTTAAGGCAGAGCAAAATTGAAGGTGAATTTCAATATTATACTTACAGACAGAAGAACAATAAAAATATATGAAAAGAATTAACTAGATGGATCTCTTTCCTTTCTATTCAGTAGCTAAAACTTTGGAAATGAAGAAATGACTTGGGTGCTCATTGTTTAATAGTGAGAAAATTGCTCTCCTCCCGTCCTTTCCTACCCTTCTGAATAATGGCAGCCAGTCCAGACCCCTTCCCTCCCTTGCTTTATATTCTAGTGGTTCATCTAGGAAGACTTTCTCCTCACAGTGCTTATACCCAGTTTCCTGCGTTTAACTGGCCCGACAATATCTGTTTGTGCTTATATTCCCAACAAACAAACTGCTACTACTGTGCTAATTCAGCTCTTTCTCTTCTTTGTAATCTAATTTTCAGTTCCTGATTTCCAGTTATTGCTAACAGTAATGGTAAAAGAAAGATTCAGGGGCGCCTGGGTGGCTCAGTCGGTTGAGCGTCCGACTTCATTCAGCTCAGGTCAGGATCTCACGGTCTGTGAGTTTGAGCCCCGCATCGGGCTCTGTGCTGACAGCTCGGAGCCTGGAGTCTGCTTCGGATTCTGTGTCTCCCTCTCTCTCTGCCCTTCCCCTGTTCATGCTCGGTCTCTCTCTCTCTGTCAAAAATAAACAAACATAATAAAAAATAAATAAAAGATTCCTCAGAAGCATAACGATCACAAACTTAATAATAAATTATTACTATTGAGAAGGAGGGGGAGGGGGCAATACAAAGTCCATCTCATTCTGTCATTTAAATTTTTTTTTTTTCAACGTTTATTTATTTTTGGGACAGAGAGAGACAGAGCATGAACGGGCGAGGGGCAGAGAGAGAGGGAGACACAGAATCAGAAACAGGCTCCAGGCTCTGAGCCATCAGCCCAGAGCCTGACACGGGGCTCGAACCCACGGACCGCGAGATCGTGACCTGGTTGAAGTCGGACGCTTAACCGACTGCGCCACCCAGGCGCCCCAGAACTCATTTAATTCTTAACCGCAATCCTGAGAGGCAGGTCCTGTGGGTAACGAAGCCATGTTTACAGACAAAGCTCCCAAGAGTTAAGGTCAATTGCCCAAGCAACGCCTGGCTGGTAAATGCAGCCTGAGGTCTAACCCAGATAGTCTGGCTCTAGGCTGAGGCTGCATACCTAAAACTGCCACTCATACAGCCTTGCCACCAGAATGGAGATTGAATATCGGTCACAGCGGTCGGAGGGCGTGGGGAACAGTCAACAGTCTTGAAATGGCTGGCAGTGGAGTGGGTCTTGTTGAGAGGGTTAAAGGGATCTGGGTTGTGTGGTTCAGGGAGGAGAAAATACCAGCAGTAAGTTAATTGGGTTTCAAACCTATAAAGGATTGCTTTGAAGAAAGTAATGTTCTGTGTCCATTGAAGACTGTGTTGAAAGGACACACATGCAGTGAGCCAGATCAGGAGTACTTCACGTTGGGCTTGAGGAGTCCTGTCTTGCCATTAAGTCTGAGGAATAATAAATCGGGAGGCTAAATCTAGAATGGGTTGCCATTCAAGGTGGCCGTGGTTTAATTGACTGTGACTGTAACTTCCCCCATTTAATATTGAGTAGATACGTTTCTTCATTCTTAATCTAATGTTCCCTAAGACGGTAATAGAGTTTTAGAACTGAGGACAGGCAGTTCAGCTCCGTATTTTACAGACCAGAAATTATTATTATTTTAAGTTTTTAAAATAGGTATTTATTTGGGGCAGGGGAGAGGCAGAGAGACACAGAGACAGAATCGGAAGCAGGCTCCAGGCTCTGAGCGGTTAGCACCGAGCCTGACGTGGGGCTTGAACCCACGAACCATGAGATCATGACTCGAGCCAAAGTCAGATGCTTACCCGACTGAGTCACCCAGGTGCCCCCAGAACCAGAAATTAGATGTGTGTTATCATAGGACTACCTGCTAAGGGCCCGAACTGAGTTTTAAACCCAGGTCTCCTGAGCACTGTGTCCAGAGTGCAGGCTGCTTTTTGGGGCAGGGTGGTGGGGAGGGGTGATAGTGACAGAAGAGAGAGAGTACTTTGAGAAGTGCTGTTTCATACAGTGGGATTGCTGTGTACTGAAGGGGGAGGCGGTGTAAGTTCCACTAATTCATGAACTCTCCTTTTTCTTTGTGTAGTATGAACCCAGAGGACCTGGTCGGCCCTTGTACCAAAGAAGAATCTCCTCTAGCTCAGTCCAGCCTTGTTCTGAAGAAGTAAGCACTCCTCAAGACAGTCTTGCTCAGTATAAAGAGCTTCAGGACCATAGTAGCCAATCTTCTTTCAACTTTTCATCCCCGGAGTCCTGGGTAAACACCACCTCATCTACCCCCTATCAGAACATTCCGTGTAATGGACCCAGCAGGACAGCTCAACCCAGAGAGTTGATAGGTAAGACAGAATTGGTGTGTTGTTAAAACTGCAGTTTTTGACTGCTTGGCTCCTGGATATTTATGGAGTTTTTCTTCTTCTTCCCGCGCGCCCCCGCCCCCCCCCCCCATTTATATTATTATCTTTGAATCATATTTAATGCTCAAAGTTCGTAGTTGTGTCTCAGGCCATACAGTGTTGTCCATATTTATGGTCTGAAAGGGAAGTAGATCTGTCTCTGGGGAGCTCATTGATTGGATCATTTTTACCTGTGCGCATGAATGAAAGAAGTAATGGAATTTGAATTTCTAAATTTTTTTTTTCAACGTTTTATTTATTTTTGGGACAGAGAGAGAGAGACAGAGCATGAACGGGGGAGGGGCAGAGAGAGAGAGGGAGACACAGAATCAGAAACAGGCTCCAGGCTCTGAGCCATCAGCCCAGAGCCCGACGCGGGGCTCGAACTCGGACCGCGAGATCGTGACCTGGCTGAAGTCGGACGCTTAACCGACTGCGCCACCCAGGCGCCCCTTGAATTTCTAAATTTAATTCTAATTCTAATTTAATCTAAATTCTAAATTTAAATTTCTAAATAGAATCACCTTTGCTTGGGAAAAGTTTGTTTTCTGCGTTTTGTTTTTTGTTTGTCTGTTTGTTTTCTCCCCAGGATTAGGGGCGGGAGTTGGTTGGGTCAACATCAGTTTCCAAGGATTTATTGTCAGTAAAGTCATTGACAGTTTGCTATACAATAGAGTTTGGCCACGAGAGAAACCAATAAAGTCCAGCAGGTTGAGATTTAGAAATCCTGTGTTATTTCCTTATATTCTAATGAACTGAGAAATCTAAAGCTTCAAGAGGAAAAAAAAAAAAGGGCATAGAATGGCATTGGAATGGACAAGGCTCTTATGTTGTTGGGTAGGAAGTCTAAAGTCTTTAGCCTTGAATGCAGATAAATGCACTTTTATCCTTTATCTGTTCCCTCTTTTTTAAAAGATATTAAATGTACGGAAACAAATGATACTGTTTGAGTTCTCTAACCTGTAGCCTTCTCTTTGTAGGCTGTAGACATTGATCTTTGTGAATAAGCCTGTGATCTTTGTTGGGTGAATTTCTGCCCTGGTAGCCTTAATCTTTGTATTGGGATTTAATTTTGTTCATTCTTAGCATGTGAATCTATTGTTTCTGCAACTGGCCCATTTTTGAGTTTGTACCATACAAACATATTTTTAGAACAATAGACTTGGTAGGACAAAAGCATTAAAAAGATTTTGGTTTTGTTTCCTGGAAAGACACATTGTGATTTTAATTGTTAAGACATTCATTAATACCTGTCGTGTATTAATTGAGAAACATCTCATTTACAAAATCAGTAATAAGGAATTTTTTTTGAAGTTTTATTTATTTATTTTGAGAGTGAAAGTGTGTATGCATGTGCACAAGTTGGGGAGAGGAGAGCCAGAGAGAGGGAGAGAGTCCCAAGTAGGCTCCATGCTGGATCCCATGAACCACAAGATCCTGACCTGAGCTAAGATGAAGTCTGACGTTTAACTGACCGAGCCACCCAGGTGGCCCTTGTTACTTTTTGGTTGTTTTGTTATAACTTCGTTGTCTTTATTTATTAAAAACGTTTTTTTGAACGTTTACTTACTTTTGAGAGAGAGAGACTGACAGAGCGTGAGCAGAGGAGGGGCTGAGAGAGAGGGAGACACAGAATCGGAAGCAGGCTCCAGGCTCGGAGCTGTCAGCACAGGGCCCGATGTGGGGCTCAGACCCATGAACCCTGAGATCATGACCTGAGCTGAGTCAGATGCTCCACCATCTGAGCCACCCAGGCGCCCCTATTATAACTTACTTTAAAGACAACATCCTTTCTCTCTCTCTCTCTGTCTCTCTCTCTCTCTCTCTCTCTCTCTTTTTTTTTTCCACCTAAATTTTAGGATAACGGCCAAAATCAATGAAAACCTGACTTGAGCTGATAAGGTAGAAAGTTCCTAAATAACTGTCCAAAGTGCATGTCATTTTATGGTATCTTTTCCACAAATATACAATTACTATTTTGTCATTACTGGTAGACAAATTGTAGTATTCTTTTGTTGAAAGTAACAGTTAAAGTATTAAACAATGAGCTCAAGGGGCGCCTGGGTGGCGCAGTCGGTTAAGCGTCCGACTTCAGCCAGGTCACGATCTCGCGGTCCGTGAGTTCGAGCCCCGCGTCGGGCTCTGGGCTGATGGCTCAGAGCCTGGAGCCTGTTTCCGATTCTGTGTCTCCCTCTCTCTCTGCCCCTCCCCTGTTCATGCTCTGTCTCTCTCTGTCCCAAAAATAAATAAACGTTGAAAAAAAATTTTTTTTTTTAAAATGAGCTCAAGACCACAAGTCTTCTGAAGCACAACTATCAGTATTCATTTATTGATTCATTTTTAGAGGAGTGCAGCCATTGCCTGTCGTGGGTCAGAAGGGGAATAATTACCACGTGGGAAATTTTTTTCTGAAGTTTGAGACTTGAGACTTCTTGAAGAAAACTGTTCATGTCATTTTGATTAGGAATTTAAAAGTGGTCATTGTGTCCGATATGGCCATATTTTCTCAATTTTCATCCCGAGAGCAAAGAACCACGTCTTTGACCTTCTTGAACTTTGGATTTCCCATTTTGTCACTGATCGCACTTCCAAGTTCTCAGTGAATGCCTGCTGACTAAGGAGATAATGAAAATAGGTCTTGTGCCCATGAGGTTGTGGGTGGTCCAGTCACACGGCTCAGCCTTTACACCTGGTGATGTCAACCGGGCCGCCGGATAGGCTTCACTTCTCCCAACATACGGATGTGTTTGAGTTCTTTTCACTTATCTTGGGGACCGTACGTAGTACTCTATCAGACATTCCCTATTAACGTACAGATGAAAATTTAAGATGAGATAGACAACATTGAATAACATCATTGGTTGTCAGATTAGTAATAGCTTTAAAGAATAGTTTCTCTTATCTGGAATATATGTGGTAAGTCATATTAATAAAAATCTTGAACTCATGGTTAAATAAGAATGTAGGCATTAAGTTAGAACTGTTTTGTATGGATTATTTAGTTGAAAATATTTAATTGTTGTCCTGAAAATGAGAACATGGTTAAATAATAAAACTTAGTAAAGTAAGTAAAAATAGTAAGTTCTTGAACAATCAATAAGATGTTTATCTTATGTATTGTGTTAGACAGTACAGTCTGCTGTTATATTGAAATATTTGGTGAGGTTTTTATTTTTTTATGTTGTAAGTTTTTATTTAAATTCTAGGTAGTTAACATATAGTGTAATGTACATTTCAGGAGTAGAATTTAATGATTCATCATGGTATGTTTGTTAAACTAGTGCTTTTAAAAGCATTTTTTCCCCCACAAAAATCAATGACATTTAGATGGAGAAGTGGGAAATGTTCTAGAAAGATGTTAGGTAGTTTAAACTAATTTTGAAGAATTTTATGAATTTTTAAAGGTTTTTTTGTTTTGTTTTGTTTTTTGTTGTGTTTTCAGTTTAGTTATTCATTTTGAGAGAGACAGAGACAGCACGAGCAGGGGAGGAGCAGAGAGAGAGGCAGAGACAGAATCCCAAGTAGGCTCCACAGTGGTTACTTTGGGGCACTTGGCTGGCTTAGTTGGTTAAGCATCTGACTCTCGATTTCAGCTCAGGTCACGATCTCACAGTTTTGTGGGTTCCAGCCCCATGTCAGGCTCTGTGCTGACAGCATGAAACCTGCTTGGGATTCTGTCTCTCCCTCTCTCTCTGTCTCTCCCCTGCTCACACATGCTTGCTTGGTCTCTCTCACTCTCTCTCTCTCTCTCTCTCTCTCTCAAAATAAATAAATACACATTTAAAAATAAAAAATAAAAATGAGAGGTTACTTAAATAAGTTATGAAGTATCTGTGTTATATGATGTGGTTAGGAAAAAACACCAACTTAAGGCTTATCTCTGGTATAACTGACTTCTTTTCCTCTTTGGCCTTTTCTGTAACTTTCAAATTATCCTCAGTGAATGTGTATTATGATTATAATCCAGTACAATGTCAGTGAGGGAGAACAGAATTTACCGCCCCCAAACATGCTCTTTGGCATAAAGATTATTTCAGGATGATTATTTTTAAGAAACTACAGACACAGAAGCTCTGAAAACTGGGTGAAAGTTACCCTTTGGTAAGAGACATTTTACATTTACAAGGGAGGTCTCTCTTTGTAAGAATGTCTCCCTCTCTGCACCAGGAAGAGGATCGTTCTAAATTTCTAGAAACTATCGATGGAGAAAACAATTTACCCTTAAGTTAACTTACCCTGCATAACAACCTTGTTCACTGTGCTTTTCCTGGTATCCTCACGTAACTGCCTCACACACCCAAGATCTTTTGTCTTTAGCTGGACATGTCATTTTAGTTGCTGGTTTGGGCCATTTCAGGGAGTTATTCGGTTTTCCTGGATCTCCCTCATGTATACAGAAGGTATACATGTTTATTAAACATTTGTTTGTTTTTCTCCTGTTCAGCTGTCTTACTGTAGGGACTGTCTCAGACAAGAACCTAGAAGAGTAGAGGGAAAATTATTTAAACATTTAAAGGATTGGAAAAAGCAGTGTTTGAGAGTAAGTCATGGTTTAGTGGACAATAAAATTAGGAAGAGTGGGGTCAAATTTTATTTTATTTTTTTAATGTTTATTTACTTTTTGAGAGACTGAGCACAAGCAGGGCAGGGGCAGAGAGAGAGGGAGACACAGAATCCGAAGCAGGCTCCTGACTCTGAGCTGTCAGCACAGAGCCCGACGCGGAGCTCGAACCCACGGACCGCGAGATCCTGACCTGAGCCGAAGTCAGACGCTCAACCGACTAAGCCACCCAGGCGCCATTATTGTTTTTTTAAATTTACATCCAAGTTGTTAGCGTAAAGTGTAATAATGATTTCAGGAATAGAATTTAGTGATTCATCACTCACATATAACACCTAATGCTCATCCCAACAAGTGTCCTCCTTAATGCCCCTTGCCCATTTGGCCCATCCCCCCACCCACAACCCCTCCAGCGACTCTCAGTTTGTTCTCTGTATTTAAGAGTCTCTTATGGTTTATCTCCCTCCCTGTTTTTATATTATTTTTGTTTCCCTTCCTTTATGTTCATCTGTTTTGTATCTTAAATTCCACATATGAGTGAAGTCATATGATACTTCTCTTTCTCTGACTGACTTATTTCACTTAGCATAATATACTCCAGTTCCATCCACGTTGTTGCAGATGGCAAGATTCCATTCTTTTTGATTGCCAAGTAATACTCCATTGTAGAAATACCACATCTTCTTTATCCATTCATCAGTCAGTGGACATTTGGGCTCTTTCCATAATTTGGCGATTGCCGATAGGGCTGCTATAAACATCAGAGTACATGTCCCCCTTTGAAAAAGCACTCTTGTATCCCTTGGATTAATACCTAGTAGTTTTAGTTGCTGGGTCACAGGGTAGTTCCGTTTGAGCGGGGTCAAGTTTTAAAGGATGTTAAAAATTAGATTACATATGGGAAATGTGAAGTAAAATTTATAGTTGTTTCTCCCGTACCTTACCCTGTGTTTATTTATATATTACAAGAAAAGAGAGCATTTTTAAGAAATGGAACCGAGTGTTACTATTACCTAGGTTAAAAATAAAAGGTATTTTGACCAGGAGTCAGCATATACAGCTCCTTTTTATTTAAGAAAGAACGTGTAAGTTCCCATATTCAAAGTTGAGCAGTTAACATATTAAATATCAAGGTGTACCATTATAAAATTAGTTTTGCGAAGCAAATCTTCAGGTTTGACCTTCCGTTTTCATACGTTAGCTATTCCAGTTTACGTAGTCAGTTCTTTTGCAAGCATTGATAAGATTCAGAAGTTTGATTCGATGTGTTGTGACCTCAGCGTTCTGTGGCAGAACTTGACTGTCCCCAGGGCTGTACCGTCACGGAGCTCCTGGGGACGAGAGCCAGTTGTGACACGTCGAGCTAACGAGATGCGTCAGCATTGCCAGGCGTGCCCTTAAAGCCGTGTCGCTCTTCTCCGCTTCTAGTTCCACCACCCAAGACCGTCAAACCCCCTGAGGATCAGCTGAAGTCCGAGAGCCTCGAGGTGTCCAGTTCCTTCAACTATAATGTGCTGCAGCATCTCGGCCAGTTCCCCCCACTCATGCCCAACAAGCAGATCGCGGAGTCGGCCAGCAGCAGTAGCCAGCAGAGCTCGGGGGGCAGCAAGCCCGCCATGTCCTACGCCAGCGCTTTGCGGGCCCCTCCCAAGCCCAGGCCCCAGCCTGAGCAGGCCAAGAAGAGTAGCGACCCTCTGTCTCTGTTCCAGGAACTCAGCCTGGGGAGCTCATCAGGCAGCAATGGCTTTTACTCCTATTTTAAATAATCACTTTTTTTCCCCCTCCAGGGCGAATGTTTTGATTTTTGTTTATATCAATAGAATTAAGATAGTTGGACTTCCTCTATAGATGCACAGTTCCCTTTGTTTTAATATTAAATATGTTCTCACTTAATTGCTTTGCTGCTAGACTTGCAACTAATTTTTTAAAAGTATATTCCATTATTTTGCATTTTTGACGTGTCTTTTGACAGCTTTTATGTAGAATAAAAAATATTTTTAAATTTGTGTATTGTTACATATGTTTGCATCAAGCTAGCAGCTAAGAGTTAATTGTGCAACTATAAAAAAAAAAAAAGAAAAAAAAACTTTGTCTAAAATGTATTTAAAAAGAAAAAAAATTGTAAGTAGCATTTACATTTATTCAATAATATTACCATATGCTGGGTTTCTGTACCAGAAATGGCCAGTTGATGTACAAATGTATGTTATTTTTGCTTAAATTCATTTAAAATTTTTTAAAATAAAGGGGCAGCATCTTCTAAATACTTTAAGTTTTATCAGTTTTTTTTTTTTTTTGTGACAAGATGCTGCATTCTAAAACTTTTATAGTTTTAGACTCTGTATGATGTGCTGTTGTAATCTCCATCCACTGTAGGATAGAGTTAAAGGCATTCTTTGCAAATGTATCTTGTATGCCACTGTTTTTTGTAACATGAAAAAACATTGGCATAGTTAGTTATTTTTTGGACAAGCTGTACTTCAAGCTTGTTTTTAACGTTAATTTGATAGTGTGTGTGTGTGTGTGTTTTTTTTTTAAACAAATCATGAAGCTGAAAAATTTTTAGGATTGTTGGTGCTTAGTAGACTTGATAACTATTTTAAAAATGCGTGAATTTAGTAAAATCCTTTTTTTCTCACTATGCATGTGTAAATGTTTGTAATCTGGCTTTCTCCCCCCCTCTCCCCCCAGTGGTATAAAGAATTGTGCCGCTTTAAGGTTTGTTTTTTTTTTTTTCCCCCTCCAGTAAAAATTTTGGTACCTTATTTGATGTTTACATTAAAATGTGACATTATTCATGGCAATTCAAATATTTTGCTAACTGTTTTGTTTGAGGAACATCATTAAAAAGAAAGCTGATATTTGTCCAACATGTATCAAAATTCATCGAAATCTGGGGCAAAAAACTACCCTTGTTTTTCATGTCTTTCGATTCTTATAATCCCACTGAACTTGTATAAAAATATAAAATTTAAATAGCCATCTTAAATATTCTACAGTCTAAAAATTGTTTTCAGTGAACTTTGGTAAAATCCAAAGCAAAACATTTACCCTCTTAAAACTTGTGGTCTTCTAACACCCTTGAAACAATGCATGTCCTTCTTGTTTTCCTGATTGGGTAGTCCTACTTTTTGTACTTCAGAGAAATCTTGAAACTACAACATAACTTTTTTGTTGTTGTTCTTTTTGTTTTGTTTGGTTTTGGTTTTGTTTTTAAATAACGTAAGGTTCGGAAACATTGCTGATGAACCAGTGAATCCTGATGATCCATTCAAAAATAGTTTTTTTGGAGGACTACTTTTGAATAGGCCATCCTGTATTCACAGTACAATTTTTGAAATGGGGTTGAAAAGTGGTGGCAGGGTTAAAGAAAACTCCTCACATCTCCTCTATGACTGGAGTTTTATTGCTGTTGGCCAGCTCCAACTCCCTGTAATCCTTAGACAATTTAGGAGAAGAGAACGCCTTTAGTTAAGGGTTAGTGAGCCTGCAGGAAAAGGAGAACACCTGTTTTCTTCAGCTCTTTCTGCTCAGAGTGGGTGCACATCATTTGTCCGCGGCTTCCGTTTATGGGCTGTGAGTCTCCATGTGAGGCAGTGGATGGAGACCTGTGGACCGTAGACGTATTAATGGTTAGTATAAATCACAGTTGGAAAACAGAGCCAGCAACTTACGGCACCACATTTTCTCTCTCTGATGTCAGACCGCCACCTTTGACTGTGTCACATTTTGCTCAACGTAACTTTAGTCACAAGAAGTTTTTGTGTTTCGACTCAGTGACGAAACGCAAGATAGAGCCCAAATTAAAATCAGATCTTCCTGACGGGAGGATGTCTCTGAACAATGATTTTTTCATCCGTGATTCTCCCCCACAATGCAAGTCAGATAAATGTTTCAGAGCATTTTGATAATTACGAAGACAGAACTGGCATGTCAGGGCTTTGAGTTAATCCCTTGTCATGGAGTCATTGCCGAATTTTCTGTTTTCCATACTTGAACCTTTAAAAAATATCAGTTTTAACTTATTTGTATTTATATTTAAAGAGGTCAGGTGCACACCCCACCACTTTATATAAATATACTGATGTTGGAAGCTTGGGATAAGGAAGCTGCTGAGTTGTCGTGACACCCCTGTTCTAAGAAGTTATTTCCAAAAAACTAAAAACAATAGCTACTTATTAGTTCCTTGCTCTGCTGTGTCCCAGTGTTCCTCCTTTCCTGATAGTTCTTAACAACCGGTCAAGTATTTGGATATTGTTTCCATCTACTGCCCTTGTAGATTCAGTTTTGAATGTGTCTTCTAACACATTTACTCTTCCTCAGTGTTACTTACTGCCATCTCTCCAGCTGAGCTTTGAATCTGTCATTTACGCGCGTGTAAAGTGTTGCAATGATCCTGATTGAGTCTTACCGGGGGAATCCTTGTAAGTTTCTGTGGAAACGAGGCGTGGCTCATGCTGTCTGGGTATTCCTTGGGTAGCAGTTAGCAAATGCACACAAAGCAGACTGAGAAAACAGCTTAAGTGCTAGTTTCATCCTTAGTGTTCAGACGGAACTTTTTTTTTTTTTTGAAGAAACCTTGATGTTAGCTCTTGGATGATGCCAAGTATTACCAGCTTCCTTTTCTTCTAGTACTGATTTCTTTTAAGTGAAGTTAATTGTTCACATGATGTCTTTCTACTTCTTTGTTCTTTGTATCACTCTGAGGGGTTTCCTTTTTCTTGCCAGAACTTTTTTTTTTTTTAATTCATCTCGCTTTTTAATTTCAGTGCTGCTTGAGATTTTCTTTTTTTTTTTAACCTTAAAGAAATTCTTTTGGCTGATAGAATTTGTAGAGTGTCTGTGCTGAAGTTGTTTTTTTTTTTTTCTTTCCTGATCTAACAGTGATTTTATTTAAGATTTGAAAAACCTCATGATTCAGTGTAATGTGGATATTTTCTGGTGTTGCTTTTAAAAGGGGCTTTGGTTGCCATTTTGGCACATGCTTTGCCAAACTGTTATAGCAGAGCTTTGTTTCTGATTAATCAGTAGTTAATTATTGACCATTTAAACTAACATGACCTTAATGTTCCTTTCCTCAGACAGATACGCTTTCTATCCAGGTCATTTTGTGTATGCGAAATAACAAACTGCTTTGTGTGGTTTTTTTCATGAGAGATCCTAGAATAAGTTCAGGTTGAGTGTAAACATCAATTGGTCTTTTCAGTTCAAAGAATTGCAGAATAAGTAAAATACGCAGAATTCCCACTGAATAAGCATTATCTAATTGAACATAGCAATCTCCAAGACCTATTTGTAAAAATAGTTTCCTTGTGGATGGAGGCATTGAAATTGCTGAGAAAGCTAACTGGATTTCCTCGCTTTGAGATAGGTAACATATAGTAGTATCTTGTTCTAGTGTAGTTACTTTACGTGTTTAATATTTTTCATGTATATACATCTCGAGAGCAACGAACCTATAAGCATGTAAGAATGTATCTCTAGCTACTTTGGCTAGAGAGAGCCACCCATGCCTGAGATCCAGGGTGTGAACAAACAATTTCAAGATAAAAAGAAAATTAGATTGACTGAACTAGTTGTTTAAAAAGACACCTGTTCTACTTGGATAACGTTTCATATTGGAGTTGTCCTTAAAAAGGTAATCCCAGAAAAAGTTTAAGAATACATGATTGAAACCTTAAATATATTGATAGATACAGATTGCTGCCTTAAAGTGTTGTTTAGGCTACCATCCACTTCTTGTTTTCTTCTAGCCCCACAAAGGTAGTGATTTGTCCTTTATGATTTACCATGATTTATAATTATTTCTTGTGAGCCATCCCCCTAACATGAAAACCCTTAATTTCTACCACGGTCATATGTGTCTTCCTAAATCTCAAAGTAAATGTGTTAATAGATCTGATTTTTCTCTCCCTTCTTTGCCACAATCGTTAGAAATAATGGATAATGTTCTACGATTTCTTGTTCAGAATATCACATAGTGATGTCGTCTTTTTATAAAGATACGGACCGCCATGAAAGAGTAAGTGACATGCTAGTCTTCAAAGTGCTCGTTATATTAGGCGTCTCGAATTTCCCTTCTACTTGAAGTTGGATGTTTATTTGCTGAGATTTTATTGTAAAGCTGCTAACTTCACACTTACTACTTTCATACATCTGCTTAATTAGCAATTTCAAGACCATTGTTAAAAGGAGTGAATCTTACTAACGTTAAACATTCTTCTAAGACACATTCAGAAAATGTTACTACTTTAAACTAGAATACCAGACATTAAAAAGGAGACATTTTTAGTGTAACATTTAAAATTTTAGAAATGATGGGAAATATCTACTTTGGAATAAACTTTCAGGAAACAGTCACAGGAGTTTCTTAAATTTTTTTGAAGGGAGGTACCTGATAGAAGAATCTAGACTTAGTAATGTGAGCTGTGGTTAAATCCCAAACCCAGTTATACAGTAGTCTAAAGCTTCTAAAACTGAAGCATGAAGAAAACCCAGAGACATTCATATACGTATAGTTTCAGTAATCAGAGTATTAGACCAGACTTTATTTGCAATTTGTTCAACAGAGAGATTTTATTTTGATACAAATATTGAGCATAAAGTATAGTAAGTTTTATATAATTCTATGAGTTCATTAAACAATATTATGGAATTTTCATTATGTTCTTGGGGTGTCTTTTTAGCTATTTCTACACCTCATATAGGAGGCCTCTTCTGTATTTTATTTTGCATACTAGCATGTGACTGCCTGCTTTAGAACTATGTCTAGGAGGGGAAATCAATATTACTTTTAAAAAAATGGGGTTTTTGAAATGAATTTTTTCATTACTACTTTTTTTGATGTTTGAGAAGTAAAAGGGGGTAGCAAGTTACATAGTTTCAACACAGAAGTCACCCAATAGCATCTGTTTAAATATCTATCCTATTTTAAGATTTTAGAAGTTTGAGCAGGGGAGAGCAGTGATTCTCAAACTTCAGCTTGCATCAGAATTACCTGGAGGTCTTGCTGGAATCCAGATCGCTGGACCCCACCCCAGAGCTTCTGATCCCAGGCTGAAGCCTGATCATTTGCATTTTCAACAAATCTTCAGGCGATGCTGCTGGTCCAAGAACCACACAGTTTGAGAGTCGCTGGTCTAGAGAAAGCCTGAAGGTCTTTCCAACCATGCATTTCTTTCCTCAATGTAAACAACCGATCACTTGAGACATTTTAATAATTCTGATGCCGTGAGTGGAACATTCATGGAGAAAGATTTCTAAGGAGAGAGGAGAGCCTCTGGAGTGGCTGTCACCACCTCTCCCCCCCCCCCCCCACCACTGCCGACCCCTCTAAAGGTCTGTGCATACTTGTCCACGTCAGGGTGCAGGCCCTCATTCATTTCTGGGGCGAGTTTGGTCTTGTGCACCCTGCAGCCTGGGCTTTGTTCTAGAAGCTGTGCATTTGTTTGGTGTGCTTAGACTTGTTCTTGATCGTACATGTGGAGATGAGAATTATAAAAGGAAGCCATCAGAACGTCACAAGAGGCACCGAGCACAGGAGGCCCTGTCTTAGGATGGCAGTGACATGGAGCATGGGAAGCAATAGATAATCCCCAAATAATGTGTTCGTAGTTTTTATGGCTTTTTTGGTTGGGGGTGGGGGGATGAAGGTAAAGGGTTTGCGTTTCAAATTATGTGTTTCTCAGGTTAACAAAGTTATTTTGGATTCTCTGCCATGCCGGCAGGGGTTAGGGGAGCCTGAAGTGTTGTATATGGCAGAAAATGGATGATTGTTTCTGATTACTTTGCTACTTAAAAAAAAAAAATCCATATATGTTTGCAAAAACAGTCTAGGGGAATCTACCAGCTACACAGCATGAGTTATTCA